ATAACATTTCTTTTTTTTTTCTGGAAGTTGTGATGGCATAGCGTCTTGTGTTGATCATACAACAAAATCGTTGTTGTTATCGTTGGCATTCAAATAAATGTTTTATGCGGAAGTGATTCTGTGCATCTAAGCGGAAACTTACAGAAATTACCTCCAAATTACATAAAAGTGATCAATCGTAAGTTGATGAACTATGAAAGAAATTTCATTGCGTATCAAGAAAATGAGTCAGCTTACATTTTTGAAATGAATCACTGTGGGGCGTTTGAGATTTTGCGGAAAAAGATCCGAATATCCACAGAAATGGTATCGATTCGAATGCAGTCGCTGACTTGAGTCTAGATCACTTCAGTTCCTAGAGAATAACAATGAGTTTGAATGGATAGCAGGCGATTGGTGAATGCATAAAGGTGTTTAACAATTGCTGGAAGCTTTCCTGATTAATAGGGCAAATGACGGTATTCGGTGAATTGAATGAGTAAAGTAGTGTTATTGAGGATAAATTATTGACAGTGCAATTAGAGATATTACTGTGATGTGCAACAATTCGACGTTATCGCATCTTCGGGAACAGCTTGTTGACTCAATCACTCGTGAAGATGGCATAACGCCGAAACGTTGGAAGTCATCGCAATATCTCTCTCATTCTCCAATTGTGCACCTAATAATTTGTCAGCAACAACACTACTTTACTGATTCGAATCAATATGTGCGTCTGGAATGTGAACATTTTTGATTTTGTTTTTAGTCATATCAAAGTGTGATTGATCGTTGTGAGCTGAAATTAATGATCGAAGCTAGCGAATCACTGACTGAAATTTTCGACGAACAAGTGAGCGAAGCAAACGAACCTGAAGCGACTCAGAAACAGTACCGATTCAACTGGAGTCTCTTGGGTGAAGCTGAACTCTTTCTAGCCAATGAGCAATCGCTCTATTGTGCATTCTCTCGTGCCATATTAAAGTGAGTGATACTTCTACTGCTGCTGTTGATCATTGCTTTATATTCTTTTCAATACGATTGAATTTCTTGTCTGTTCATTTCGTTGTTGTTCATTTGGATTATTTTTGGCTATTTTATTCATCCATTTCAAGTAAACGGATATTAATTTGGTTTGAGATCCTCATAGATGCACAAAAACAACGCCACAGTCAAATATAGATTGGAAGATGAGAAATTCCGGCTGAAAAAGAAGAAGAGATTCAAGATGTTTACGAGAATTTCATTCGAAATCGCATCTCATCTGAGATGTGAATGCAAGATTCTGTTTGAAATCGAACGAACAGTTTGTGATTCGAAATCAATGAGAATTTTGCAGAGACTACCAACTGATGAAAGCGAGTGAGCGAAGGCCGCCGCCATTGGCAGCGGGGAAAGATGCTGAAAAAGATTCTTTGTGCAAATTATTCGAGCAAAAAATTAACTTCGGTCATCAGCACATGAAGACTTCCAAACCTAAATTGACCGCAAACAACATTGATATTAAGCAAGGAGATGAATCGTCTTCTGCTTATTATCAACCGAATGCCTATAGTGCTGAAAGAAAATCGTCGATCAGTGATTTACCCGCATTTGATACTGAGGATCAGTCGGCAGTCACGGAATTGCAACAGGATGGTGTGTAATTCAACCCTAGCTTTATTTCTGCGAAAACTGCGAAAATCTCTCCTTTTGAAAGGGAATTTTACGTAGAAATTGTAGTTGTTCATTGAATTCAATAGTTAATAGAATGAGAATCCGTACACTTTCTCAAATATTTTATCTATTCACGTAAAAAAAGCGAATCACTTGGATAATTTCCTTGTGCCCCATCAGCGCAGTCGATTAGTGCATCGTCCTTATAAGTAGAAACAAATGATCTGCCAAAACAGGCGTTGAATACTTTCGAAAACTAAACCCTTCGATGTGATGCATGATCATCTCCTTTCAAAACAGTTGATAGAATGAGAATTGGATCCGCTGTATATAAGTTGAGGAATTTGAGATATGAATATGAGATTATTCTAATCGCAGAAATGGCTTCAATGGGTCTTCCAATGGAATTCTCGAAGCCTCCAAGTGCTGAGAAGAAGAAGAAAGGTAAACGTAAGCGAAAGAAACCAGCCACCGAATGTGTTAATAATAGTGACAATTGGATGATTGGACTGGACTTTGAGAACTATTGGAGTTTAACTGGTGAATACGTTACGAATATGACATGGCTTAATGATTTCGGTCTGTTTTATCAATCGTTTCTGTTGCTTTTAATGCAAATTTTCATCATTCTATTGTTCATTACCTGAATTACCTGGATTGGCCAGGCTATCAAACGTTTGCAACGTTGCTGGCTACAATGCTCGCGTTTCCGTGCGCATTGTTTTAGCCTCAAGTTACGGCACCCCGCTGGCTAAGCGAGCAGGCCACTCGAATACAACCAAGTGATTGATTAGTTGCCGTGAATACGTTGCATAATTAAACGCAACCAAATACCAATCCAATAAATAATATAACTCTAATGAAATAAATATTCCACCAATCGCTCACAGCCATCTACAAAACAAACATTCGATGACCAAGTAACAAGTGACAATCTCCATTGTTCATAATTGTTGAAAACTCGATGATTCTTGATGAATTGTCCCGTTTTGTTTGTTTTCCGNNNNGGCTAAGCGAGCAGGCCACTCGAATACAACCAAGTGATTGATTAGTTGCCGTGAATAC